GGGGGGGCTTAATTAATGGCTTCGAGCTGCAGGGGTGAGATGAGACACACACAGCGGCAAAACCCAACTGCGTCTCTTCTCTCTCGGACTACGATGATGAGACATAAAGCTGCTTTAGTTCTCTGGGTCAGCAGGTAATCAGGGGAGGGGTCGATGCAGCAGGACACACACACTGGGGAGATGCACTGCTGATGAAAGTGCATCCGGTTAAGTCATTACTGAGAGGGAGCACTGCATCAGGCAAACACTCCTGATGGATTGCATTATCTTTCGGTGTTATTTAAGGTTGCAGCATGACTGCAGCAGGACTGTGACAAAGCAAAGATAACTATCTCCTTATAGTTACAGAAAATAGACCAGGTGTTACATTGCTAAAAATGTGGAATGACTAGCATGTTACACACCATCAGAGCATAGTGAAAACAAGTCCGGGGTGAACACATAACTAATTATTGTATTATTATGTCCTTTAAATAATGCTTTCACTGGGTAGATATTGAAATAGGTGAGTGTCACAAACAAATCGTTGCTGAGTTTTTTCTGTATTTTTTCATAAATAATGCCAGATCATCACATCCCTCTTTGTCAGCCAGTCTTAGAACCCAGCATAGTGAATACAAAATGTTAGATGGATTTTAAAAAAAAAGGCAAAACTAGGAGGACAGGAGTGGGATTTGAGATGTGACCCTGCAAGAATAGAGATGAAACAGAGACAGCATCACTCAGCCAGACAGCAGGACTATTCTGGGAAACATCGCTGACAAGATCATAGTAATTGGCGGAGGTGGAGAGCAGAGAGACGCAGAGACAGACAGTGCTTTACAGTTTTCATAGTGCGTGCATTGGCGCATGAAATGTATTTTACAGTGTGCAACCCCCCCACACTTTATCATTGTTACATCTCTTAGTTACTACAATCTGTAATATCTGTGCAATATAAACGTGATTGTTCACTACTGGTATCTGGCTGCTATGACTACTTCTACTACTTTTAAAATACTGTTACTGTACTTATTATTGTCTACCTGGATAGGTACTTTTTGAAAGTAGTATGTGTAATTTATATCTGTAATATTGTATGCATGCCTATTTATTCGTATTTTGCCCCTTTACTGTTTCTGTAACAATGTAAATGTCCCCTCTGTGGGACTCATACAGATTCAATGGCTTTATTGTCATAGCACAGTAGCTACAGTGAAGATATGGCAAATGTATAATTTGTATAATAATAATAAAAACGAAATAAATAATAGTAATCCAAATTAAAAGACCAACTTAAAAGGAATCGTCGCTAGTAAAATCGGAAAATGAATAATACAAGTAAAAAATTAAAGAAGACGGCCGGTGACTGTGCATTGTGACATCCCCCCACTGGAGCCTAATAAAGGAGGAGTGATGGGAGTGATGGGAGTGATGGGAGAGATGCTCACCTTGCTCCAGGTCCCTCTGGTCGTACCACGGCTCCTCTTCCTCCGTCACAAACTCCTCCATCCTGCCTGCACGGAGCATCGATGTTCATCAACTTCTTCTTCCTCCTCTTCTTCACCGGCGATGTGATGATCTGCTAATTCAGACTCGCCCGGAAGTGACAACAAACAACAGCGGCGCAGTGAAAGCCTTCAAGACAAATGAAGACTCAAAATCCCGGCAGCGCACCTGCTCCTTGAACCGTCTGCAGATATTAAATAAAAAAACACGTGACGTAGCTGTTCATACATGATGTAAAAATGTGTGTGGTGTGCACCAGCTGGTGGATACACACACTGTGTCCTCACAATGTTTCTTCTGTGTCTCCTCAGTGTGTGTGCGACTGTGATGTGAGACGCAGGTTGGCAGCTCAGTGGCTGAAGCTGCTGCTGCGTTCAAGTGCTGTCGGAAATGCTGCCTGGAATGTGGGCACATTAAGACCATCGCTGCCTTTTTGGAAGTTGTTCTGCGTACAAATATTTGACTAAGGTGTGACTACATAGTGACTAATTATAGGTGTGGTTTATTGACTTTATATTTCAATCTTGAGATGCCAAATAATCGAATCATTGCTTCAAATATAAACTTTTTTTTCTTGTTGTTTTTATTCTTTGGTTCGGTTTTGCCACTCCTTCTTTTGACCGGAATTATTTTAATTGTCTTCTATTTAAAAAAACAAAACAATGTAACCTCATGTTACTATTTGTTTTGCTTTATTCTCCTGTATTTTATATAAATTAACGTTTTGCCCTTGTTTAAACCATAAACACGTGCTATGCAAATTAAGTAATAACTATGATCATTATTATTGTCATTATTACTATGATATATCCAACATATTTATTTAATATTATAGTATTATAACATCCTATACATTTTAATGCTCTCAGGTTAATTGTACATCAGAACAATACAAAGAAAGTCAGTATAAAATAAAAGAGTAATATTATTCCTAGGCTCTCAAAAGCTTGTTTCACCTGGTGGGACTGTCTCTGTGGCAATTTTAATAATTGACTTTGTGGTAAAGACAATTATTTTTAATTTAATTATAACTTCATTATAAACACTTTGAGATGGTTATCTAGGAGCATGTTTTTTCCCTAGCTTAACACTGGCCATCCTTTGTCATTACATCTATTCAGTCGTTTCACCATTAACAATCCTTCTCTTTCATTGTCTAAACGCACCAAAAGCAAAGTCCTAAGTAACAAGAGGCACCTGAAGGCAGCACCACAAGGGCTGACGTCATAGTCTATTTAACAGCGTCCCCGGCACGGACCTCTCCTCCTCCCCCCCAGCCCTCCAATAAGTTTAATTGTCCAATTGAAGACATTTGTGTTGGAAATAAAGACTCAGTCAGGGTGTCACTCTGAGGTTAGTCCTGTTCAACATACAGTTTATTGTAAACATGTAGGAGCACAGACTGACTGTTCACTGCACAGCCAGGCCTCTGTCCATCACTTCTTCCTGTCCTCTTCCTGACTGTGGAGACAGACACTCTGGCCTCTCACAGCCTGACATACAGACAGCCACTATAACCAAGGAACATTTCCCTTATCGGAAACAACATATTTACAACGAAAATGCCAAAAAGATCCTCTCACTTTGTTAAGAGACAACCACATTTAAAACAACTTTTGGTTTGTCTTTGAATCAAGAAAATAAACACACAGCGGGACAGTTTCACCGCATGTCCATTCACAATGCAAGGGCAATAATATTAGGCCCCGCAACACATAACAATCTGCTCTTTTTCAAATAAAAAAAACAAACGGAAATCCAGTGTTATTGTACATTTTGTACCAAATGACTTCCAAGTATGCATTTGCAATATCCACAAGGTGTTTCTTTGGCTAAATTTCATTTGTAAGTCTTGTGTATTCTAAGAGCCCTTTGGTTTGAATCCATTTCAGGTAAATATGAACTTGCAGAGACATAACAAATGTTTTGCGATATAATGAACTTGAGTGCAGTAACGTAGAAGTGTCATTGTGGTTAAACATACAAAGGACAATGGCTTCCTACGGAACATTAATTAGGAAATACTTTGAACACAAGACATGTAAAGTGTACACACTTTTCAGGCGGAAACATAAACAAAATTCATATCCGTGTGCACACAGTACAACACTGCTCTACATTCACGCTAGTGCTTCATTATCGGCATAAACCCGACAAAGCAGTTAATTAAGCTTTCTTTCCGCAGGCATTCAGGATCTGGCTGAGTTCGCTGGGACGAGAGAAGCTTAGGCACTGAAAAAGAGGAAGGGCTTGACCCTTCAAAAAAATGTCATTTCCTCTTCCCATCATGCAGCTTCCTCAGGTGCGTCCAGTCCGCCTCGCTCTTACAGTGCTGCACTTTGGTGAAGAACTTCTTGATGAGAGTTTTGGCTTCAGCTTTAACTGCAGACACAGAGAGGAGTTTAAGAGGAGGCGATCGCATGCAGCAGAGCACAACTTTTAGATTATTTATCCCGCTTACCTTGGTCTTTCCCTTTACTACTCCCCTCTGTGAGGAAGTGAGATAAAAAGCGTGCAAAGGACTTAAACAGCTCCTGCAACCAAAGAAAACAACAGCTGAGAATACGTTTAATCTCACTGCAAACGTGAAACTATTAGATAAGATCGACTTCATTGATTCCAAATTGGGACTTTCTTTTGTGACAGCAGCATGTCAACAAAGCCTTGGAGAATTATTAAAAATAGAATAAAAATTATAATATAGACAAGAAATGAAACATGAAATAGAACATTCCATAAAATACATTGAAAATTGAATAATAAAAACAAGGAATTAAACAAAAATAAAAATAAAATAATAAAACAAGTTATTAAACAAGAGTTAAATATAGAAGAAAGAAAAATGACAGAAAAACAATAAATACAAAAACATTAACAGTAAATAATATAGGGTATCTAAATAATTTACATAATACAATACATAGAATAAGTTAGAATACTCTAGACCAGTGTTTTTCAAAGTGGGGGCCCCAACCCCCCGGGGGGCCGCCAGGGGGGATCCATGTGTCCTTTGATGCCAATCTTTTAATATTTTTTATTTATTAATATATATATATATATATTTTTTAAATCACAGGACCGCCCTTCAAGCCAATCAGAACCGAGCTGCCGCTACTGAGAGCGAAACTGAGGCCCATTCCCAAACCGCCCCCTACACCCTACACCCCTTAACCCTACCCCTCCGTTTGCGCGTTCACGCGGAGGGTCCGCCATATTGAGGGCTGTTCCAAAGCAACGAGTGTGGAGCGGTGTGGAGGGGGAGTGGGCTATCAAGCCCTCAAACAGCGAGTCTGCAGCGGTGCTGACTTGAGACCGGTCTCTACCTGACCGGAGTCATTGAAACACAATGGAAGATGTTTGGAGTTTTATTTGAGTTATTCATTTAAACTTTTTGTCTAAGAGATGCTGATTTGAAACCGTTGTTACAGTTACGGCATGTCCTGTTTCTGCCGGAGAGAGGGGAGGCCGTCCCAAAGCTTGCCGCTGTATTTACTCCCTCCATCTGACAGGAGGGAGCCTCGTTGAGCTGCGAGTGTGGCTACAGACGGAGTTCACTCCGTCACGGAGGGCTAGGGTCGAGGGAGTGGTTTGGGATTGGACCTGAGTATCTGCTCAGCTTTTGGAGCAAGTGAGAGCTAGTGAATATTTCGCTCTGCAGCTGGATGAGAGCACGGATGTAGCAAATATTGATGTTTATATATATGAATATAAATATGTTTATTGTTAATATTACTGTTGAATATTATATATCATATTATTAAGGCATAAGTAGCTTTCAAAAATAATAAAAATATATGTTAATTGTTCATATTACTGTTAAAAATTATATAATATTATAAAGACAGAAATCACTTTTAAAATATGTTTACTGTTGATATTACTGTTTAATATTGTGTTAAGAATGTTTATAACAGAAGACACAATGAATGTGGTGAATGACAAATNCCAGCGTCTTGTTTGAATGACAGCAGTAAACACAGAATGAATGCTTTATTAATTCATGGTTTTTAAGGGGCTTATCTCCATGTAAATACTATGGTAAACTACCCAATATTCGCATCGCTCTAATCGCTCGAGTTTCACCGCGGCTGTCAGCTGTGTTTGCTCCTGTCATTCAAAGAAGACGCGCTGGAGAGGGGGCGGGGCGTATCTCAATGTAAATCCAATGGGAGATACCAACTACTTGGCTTACTGGTGTGGTTTCCGGGTCGGCGATACAGCGCGAAACTCATCCTGAGCACACACAAACACTCACAGCCGAAGTAAAAACAATAAGTGTGGCTTGATATTGAGAAAGAAAAAGGTTTGTAAACGCTGTGAGAATGGGTCTGCGGAGAGAATTTCTCCGCGATCCCAACTCATCTATTACCAACCAGGGAGCTCTATGCAAGTCAATGGGACTCCCTGTTGGTTGAACATTTACGCTAAAGGTCCTGGTGTGTGAGGAGCTCTGCAGATTGGTCCATTTTGGGAACCGCATGACGTCATGCGGTTCCCGGAAGAAACAAATGGAAAAAGAGAAATCTCCAACGAGGCGTTCTGAGGCAGCACAGACAGGTCTTCTCTGTGTTAGAGTTTTACTCCCTACAGGGTGTACTTTGAGGGTTTGTGACTCTGCAGACCGTTTACATGCAGAAAAACCTTCATAACACACAAGGGGACGGGTAATAACCAGAAAAGCATGACATATGGGACCTTTAATGTTTCTGACTTAAAAACAAGGCATTTGAAGATATTCTGATCAACTTCAACTTTGAGGAACTGTGTGTACTTTTGTTTACAATGATATCACAGTCTGTTAAAGATCGGTATACAACACAACGTGTTTTTATCTAAAATACCTTTATTTAACTTTATTTTGTTTGCTAATTAAACTGTGTGTCATGTCCACGATGAGTTAAGCTGTTGGTCGTTATTTTCTCAAGTAAGAAACTATAAAACAATTGTTATATTGACGGATAAGAGTGAATTAATATGATGGTTAGATTAAAAAATGCAGGCATATCCACATTCAAAAGAAAAAAAAAATGTCATTGTAGTTGAAAATACCAACTGCTAAATGCTTTAAATAATAAAAATGTTAAAAGTAACAGACTGACAAAAAATACTTTTCTATTTCCATTAGCTCCATTTATTTTTACTGAATTAAATCAATACAAGTCTAAAATCAATCAAGCCTTCACATCAGGTTCACAAAAGACATCCTATGGGTTTGAATGGAGTGTGTGTGATGCCATTTAAGTCTGATGTTACATCACATGTGACACTTTCAGATTTTTCATCACAGTTTATTCTTCTTTGGAATATGTTAAATACTTTCTGTGGTTTCATCTCATGCATTT